ACGCAGTCTGGCCCATGGCGGGGGAGGAAGGGGGCTGGACGGGGGGAGTGGGGGCATGGCCAGAAGCTGGACTCCATTTCCACTGCCTCCCTTGTCCTCCCCACAGCATTTTTGACGGGCAATTTGTTAGTCCTCTTCATAACAGCCATTTATATATTAAAAAACTATTCTGATGCCTTCCTTGTGCATTATTTCTTTTCTCAGATAAAGCAAACCCTAGTTCCTTTAACCATTTTTCATATTTTTGTGTGTTACTCATTGCCCCATCATTTTTGTTTTCCTTTAGCTCCTCTGTCTCCAGTGTGAGAGAGATCCTTTCTTAAAGTAATGATATCCAGTCAGTTGTATTTAGCTGCTTTTATTTATGCAGCTTTTTCTTTTTATTAAACTATTTTGTTAACATTGGAATGTTGCCCTCTGCTGGTGGTTTCAATTTAGAAAGAACATATAGCTATTTATTTTTTTATGCATCAGAGACCTTTTGTTATTTCAGAACATTGATGCCTTTGCTTTTTGAAACTTAAGGACAGCCGTTGCAGTGGTGTGCTGTCTTCTTGTTCAGAGCGGAAGCAGTCTCTCCTTTTTGTAATAGGATTGATTTTTCACATGTTGCCCTTGAATCGAAACAAAAAGAGAAAATCATTGTCTTTTTCCAAACTTTTTAGGATTAAGGCCTTCAAGTGGCTAGATTTTTTTTTCCTGAGATCCTTTTCCAAATTTTCAGAAAGACAGCACAGAAAAATTGCTTTGTATTTCAAAGTTAGTGTCAAGTTTTATGTTGGCTTGTATACAAGTACATTTTCTGGAGCAAGAATAGTAACGTTTTTAGGAAGTTAATTGATTTTAAAATTAGTCAATCTATTACCAAAGCTCATGGAAGTGAAAGAACTGAAAATATATTTTCTGTAAAATATAAGCCTGTCAGTTTCAGGATCTGGTTAAATTAAGTTTATTACATTCCCATTACATCACCTATTTCACCTACTGTGCACAGGTCTGTTATCCAGTGTATGGTGAGTAACTGGAAAACAAAGTAACTCAAGAACACTGTGAATTGATAGTGAAGTCTATAGCATAGCTGGGGATAGAATCCTGGTTTCTAAGATGGTAGACCCATGTGTTCACTGCTACACAACAGCGACTCTTGCAGATATCATATAAAATCTCTGTACTTGAAAGTAGGTAGTAATATTTGGCCCTTTTTTCAAGATGCTTTAATAAATAGATCATGCTTTGCACTTTTGTTATTAACCGCTCTTCATAGTTGTGCCAGCTAAAACATAGAGGTTTTCAGTGACTAAGGCCATATACAAACATTCCGTTTCTTCCAGGAGAAGCAGAGCGTACAGATGTTCAGGATTTTTCTCCCAGGAGAAACTGAAAAATCACTGCTCCAGGGGAAAAATAACTGAGGGATGTGGCAGAATGCCACCTCTGTCTCTCCCCAAAAACTCTGCTCTGTGGCAACTTGGTTAACATGGGCGCTGCAGATGGCAGACATCCTATCTCTTTAGGTACCCCGAGTTGTATACATTCCTGAGATGGGGGGAAACATGCCCCCTCTGCCTACGTGACTGGCATTACATATCTGAGTGAGGATCTTGGGCTCCCTATTGTTCTAGAGACCCTGCCAGTGTGCCCAGCAACCAGTGATGCATTTTAAATTGGTTGGCTGGCAGACAACAGGTGCTGGCCTCAATTGGACCAGAAAAATGAGGTTATAAGGGCTATATAAGTTAAGGGACTGCCCAGGAGGAAGGGGAGTAGTCATGATGAAAACTCAGAGAGAGAAGAGCTGGACCATCTGAAACTTTCTCTTTCTCTTGAAACTCATGATTAATTAACTGCCTGCCTCCAGAGGGAATCTCCACCTGCCTCTGGATCTCAGGTAGCTTATCTCATGAGTAAGCTACCTGAGATCTAACTAGATATATAGCTTGCAGTAACTCAGATGCATGATCAAAGGCTACCCCAGCCACCCTGTTTGCTCTATGGGATTTCTCTGATACTGCTCAACCCTGTATCCTATTTCAAGCATACTCCTTGGAACCAATAAAGTTATCCTTTGTTCCTAGCTTGGGAGACTTATTGGGAGTGGGTGTAGGTTATGCCTTGGGGGTCCCCTTGGTTTGGCTAACTGAGGGAGACCACTGTTTGTGCTTCAGACTGAAGGAAGCACCCCAAGTCCTTGAAGTGGGTCAAGTACCCTCAAGGACTATGCCTGTTTCGTAGGGGGCACAGTGCCAGGATCAGACCAGACCTTGGGTGGTAGTGGCACTACCCTCAGGCTAGTGGGTATGCTCCAGGAAGGGGGTTGGCTACATGTGAGGTGCCCCGTTGGAGGCACTCGGAGACTGGAAGGTGGTCGGGTGCAGTGAGGTGGGTGGCTCAGTGCAGGAGCACCCCCTACTGGCCCACCACAGGGGACAGCCAGGGTTAAATCATTCCTGAGAGTTTCTTTGAAGAAAGTGAAGGTCTTGCACGTTCTCAGTTTGGAGACACTTTGTTTGAACAGAGAATGAAGATAAGTAGTGTTGTGCTTGTGTGGATAAAGTAGCCATATAGTAAAATATACTACTCAGTGGGGCTCTGCTTGATGACAGCACTTTGTAGGTATTGTGATACTATAAATAACACAATACGTGTTACTTCTTAATAGGAGTGTTTTTGACTAAAACCATTTCTTGAGTAGGCATTCTAAAATTTCAGTATACACTACTACGTGCATAATTTTTAAGAAGTACATTAAAGTGCTATCGTAATTTATTTGATATACAGAAAAGAACAGAAGACAAATTCTTTACATTTTTTGTTTTAAATACCAGTCTGAGTGTTTAGGTAGAAAATAATTTTTAAAGAACTTTAAAGCATGGAACTAAGTCACATGGATAATAAATTGTACACTGCTTAACGCACATGTTTCTCCGTTCACTACCCAATCTCATCTTTGACCTTATAGGAAGAAGGAACAATGAGGATTGGGAAGGGGGGTGGGAAGGGTGTTCACTTGTATTGTCTTATCAAGTCTTCATATATTGGTTAATTGTTGAACTCTGCAGTAAGTTAATAGTGCTTGCCTTTCTGACCCCTAATGAAAGAGATCAACATTTATGAAGAATGAATTAGAATTTGCTAATTTTTATCCTGGATATTCTCTTCCTGTGGAAATTACATCAGACAGCACATTTGTGTGAACAAGGATAGCACGCTAGCCTCAATGAAACTCTTATATCAGAAGTATACTTTGCTTTCTGTAGGGTGTAGAAACTGAGCCAAGTGTACTTATTTGGTTTTCAAGAGAATTCATAGACTTTTTTATTTTATAAATGTAGCTTCGATGCACATAAAGATCTTCTTGCTTGGTTTCAACTTGTATGGTAGAGGGCTCCTTTTTTTACTGACAGAAGCATTGGGGCCAAATTGCAAGTCAGTGAGGAGACAGGTACAGTTGTTCATGGCAGGTGGGAACCTTATGATATAATAGGTCATGGGACAAATTACCTTGATTACCTGAGCATAAGATCTCTTTTCATAAGGCTGTGCCATTTAAAATCATGTATCTGTATACTAGATGTTTTGTAAGAGCTATTCGGGACATATTTGGTTGATGTAATGTTATGTATTGAACCTTTCCAATCAGAAAATGTTTAATTTGAAATATTAAGCAAAAGGGGGGAAACTTTTTTTTTTAAATAAAGGTTATGGAAGATTTGTCACTTTTTCTACTATATTTTATTATTAAATTTGGAATTGCTTTTGAAGTGTCAGAGTAAATCAGACACATGGTTTCTGGGAATGACACGTATGTATGTCAGTATGTATCCTTACCTTACCCCCTTCTTACTAAAAATTTGTTAGTGTATTATTTTTCATTCCTAATTCTTGTTCCTCTTAAGATGTGAACTTCTGTCTTTTGTTCCATGCTTTACAAAAGAACTGCTGATGCATTTTATATGAATTGCTGTGATTATTAAGATTGGCTAGAAAACAAGAATTCTTGTTAAAAATATGTTGAGCTTTCAAATTTTTTCACTTTTCTGAGAACACAAAAGAGCCCTTTTCAAACTTGTGAAAAATCTCTTGCACACCCTTTCTTCTCTACTCCAAATAGTTCTGTTCTTATTCAAATATATGTCCTAAAAAACATGTTTTAGGTGTGACCTTTTTTCTTAGTTGTTTTTTTCAAGATTTTGTTTTTGTTGTTACTTTTTAAACCCTAAAGTATTATCACTTTTCTCAGATAAACTTTCGAATATTAAGCATCTGGCTCATTTGGTTTGTTGCAGATCTATTCCAGTCGAGAACTTGAAGAAACATTAAACAAAATCAGGGAAATTCTCTCAGATGATAAGCATGACTGGGATCAACGAACCATTGCAGTATGTTTTACATTCAATTTATTTATTTATTTTATACCATTTTACAAAAAAATATTTTGGAAGAGTTTTCTCAGACAATTCAAGCAGCTTTCATGCTAGATAGACTTCAAGAGGCTGAGTTGACCTGTATTTTCTGTACATGGAAGACCTCTTTAACATCCCAATTTGCATTTGACCGATTTTATGTGCAGGCCAGATATGTATACTTGCTCTGCAGCTAGAGATGCTTGCACATGCAGTTGGTACATTTAGCACCTTTGTAACCATGAGAATTTGCACCAACAGCACTAGATTTTGTATGTGTACAGGTTTCTAGATTAATGTGCATACAGATCTTTACATGTGTATATATAGCCACACATGTATATAAAAACTGAGTTCTGAGAAACAAATAAAGCTACCGTTTAAAAGTATACAATTAAAGTTCTGATTTTAGCAGTGTTTCTTCTTTGTAGAGGAATGCCATTAATATTTCATATACATCCTCTATTACCTTTTTAAGTTAATATTGTTGGATTGAGGTAACTCGCATCTTTTGCCAACTAAGCTACATTTTACTGTGAGGTTTAAAAAAAATTAGATTAATTTATCATTGAAACATAGTGTATGTAGTCAACACTTTAACTCTTTTAAAAAGCTAGATATATGCATGGACATGATGATGTAAATTACGTATATACTCGCATCTAACTTTGTCTTTTGTTAAAGCTCAAGAAAGTGCGGTCACTGCTTGTTGCTGGAGCTGCACAGTATGACGGCTTTTTCCAGCATTTACGATTGTTGGATGGTGCTTTTAAACTGTCTGCTAAGGATCTCAGATCCCAAGTTGTTAGAGAAGCATGCATTACCGTCGCGTAAGTACAGCTTATGCATATTTATTTATTAAGTGGCTAGTTACTTTAGTATTGAAAAAACAGAATTGTACAGTGCACTGGAGATTATCTGTGTTTAACTGTTGTGCATGTTACTTAGTTGGGAGTGAAGTCAGGTTCTAAAGCTGTAGACAATGGATGTTATTTAAGGTTTAAGGTTTAGTATATACATATTCCACAGCATTAAAGATATGTTTTATCCTGAGACAATAATCAGCTTGAAAATTTTATGTATTAGGGCTTGGAAATATTTTAGTAAGCAAAATATTTTTGTATAATTAGCCATTTACTTAAAACTCTTTGGAAAAGTTACATAAATGCATTGTGAACTAAGCATGGGACTATGCAAACGCATATTACAAAGGTATAACTCTTTACTTCAGAAATATTCATATTAGCTTGTAGTTTGAATTTCCTATGGATAATACTAATGTCTATGCTTTATATTTGGATAATACTTTGACAAGTGTTCAGAAAGTTACTAGTCTGCCAAAGAGACAAAAGCTGTTTAAGTTCAATTCTGTTTGTTTTCAATATAGTCCCCCTTGTCTTCAATGCACTTGGTCCAGCACATCTGGAGCTTGGTGATGCCTGCTTTGCCAAATCCTTGTTCAGCTGGTCCAGAACAACTTGACCTCTGTAGTCACCTCATCATCATTGAAACCCTTCACGCACAGTTTTTCTACAAGTTGGGGAGGAGTCCTGAAGGAGCCAAAACTAGTTAGTAGGCTAGATAGGGAAGCTGTTGAAAGCCATAATTGGTTGGTACAGTCATTGCAACTTACCATTTGTGTGGTGATGCATTGTCCTGGAGAAGCAGTAGTAGTCCTTGGCTCCATGGTTCTTGTTTTTTGTTGGCTGCTTGCAAACATAACCATTTACTAGCGTAGTTCTCCTCATTTCTTGTCTATTAATCAGTCATGATCACCCTTCTGCTATCCCAAAAAACTTGTGATTGTTGCCTTACTGACTGATGCCTTCATCTTGAAATACTTGATAGATGGAGACTGAGATTTGCTGTTTCTCTCAGGACCATCTCTCATCTTGAGTTGTCATCCTGCTCATGAATTCTTGGGTGTTTTGCTTGAAGCTTTCCCCCTCCCCCCATGTGCAAATGTCAGGTTGCTCAGTGTTCTGGGCACTCATCTTGCTGGAACCTTTTTATAGCTTAGCCATCAATAAGGATAGCCTGATCCAGTGCTGATGTCCCCTCTCTTAGCTGTGTGCCTCACTGTTAATCTTCTGTCCCTCATTACCATCTCCTGGATTGTATCAACTTATTTTCATGGGTAACCTCTGAGAGTTGCCCTTACTTGGCTTATCTTTTAGTTCTTATTCTCGTTTGTTTAAATGTAAATGCCCAGGTTTTTTTATTATTATTATTTTGACATATCAAATGGTATCATTCCCCCAGTAGTACCTTCATGTCCTCATGCATTTCATTTGGAGTTTTCTTTGTTACAGAGATACTTGATCAGCCAGATTTCGTTCTTAATTTTTTTTATATTATCAGTGGCTGACTCACTTTGACATGTCCTTATACAAGTTCTGCATAAATTTAAAGAAACAGTGTTTTTCAACAAAGAAACATTTAAAATACTGACCTTAGCATACCACTAAATAGTACAGTATGTCATTGAAAAGATCTGACTTTCTGATTTTCCCCTCAGGTCAAAATGCCTTGATTAACAGATGAAGGTTTGAGTAATTTTTTTTTTCATCTGTTGAGTTACCACTTAACTTTGGAGAAACATTTTGTTAGTTTGTGTTCTGTACAGGAGAGAAGTGTAATAAAAATGTTCATGAAATTTAGTCATTCTTGAAAGAATAAGTCTGCCATCGCTTGAATTACACATTGTAATTCGCTCGATAACCAAAGCGTTGATCTACAGCTCAATTTTAACACAAACTTCAGTAACTTCTATTTGCTTATAAACCTAGGGTCCAACCCTGAAAGCTTTTACTACTTAGTGCTTGGTACATGATTTCAGCTTAACTACTAATTTTGTTCTGTAACACTTTCAGAAACTAAGATTTAAATTTTGTCAGCTTAGTCTAGACTGATGCTTTTTTAAAAAATAGAAATTAAATGAGGAATTTAATCACATCACACTTCAGCTATCAAATGTTTTGTTTGTGGTAGTCTTGAAAGGTGCAGAAAGAGAAATAGAGTTTTTCCTATTGGTAACTTTAAAAATAATCCAGACTCCTGCCAGAAAATAGAGTCTTTCTCCCTTTCCATAATCTCATTTTCTTTCTCTTCCTATTTTAATCTTTTGCTTAGTATGCAGTTTGCATATGCTCTTCATTGGTGAAATCCCTGCTCCAAACCATGGAGAGTTAAATTGCAATGAGTATGGAAATTATTACGCTCTCTGCACTTATGGTCAGAATCATGAATAAACAAATGAGTGGGGAAGAGATTGTAGTTGTCATGCAGGTTAAGCATTAAATTATATTTAGATTTAAATTTTAATAATATGTTTAAATGTCATTGAGTTTATACAATCATGGAAGGCTGATAAGCAAAAATACAATGGTGTGATCTAAATAACAGGATGCAAACTTCTGTTTTTTCAGCATGGCAATTTTAAATAGAATTTCATATAAAAATAAGGCTTACAGGGAAGATTAGCTATGAGCATTTAATTATCAGTTTGCCTATAGGGTGAACATGGGTATCATTGAATTCTATCAGTCTCTTCTGCCTAAGAAGCTATTTACATATTTGAAAATCAAAAAATGATGTACTGTAACAGCTATTGTTTTGATAGATTCAGCTTTAATATGTAATTAAATTTAAATTTCTTTTTAGGCTATGAAATACGCTTTTATTAACCACTTTTATTTAATTTTCTAAATAGCCATCTTTCAACAGTTTTGGGAAACAAGTTTGACCATGGCGCTGAAGCCATTGTGCCTACTCTTTTTAATCTGGTCCCCAACAGCGCCAAAGTCATGGCAACTTCTGGGTGTGCAGCAATCAGATTCATTATTCGTGTAAGTATTCATCTATAATGGTATTTTTTGGATATTCTTGATTAAAAACAACGCTAGTTAGTTGCTTTTAGAAAAGATGTCTTGTTAGTTTTTCCATATATAAACCAGATTTTTGTGCTCTTCTGTTTGTTTTCTTTCTTTTTTTCATTTTATTTAAAGACTAAAATGTTAGTTCATTCCTAGGCAAATCACTTTTGACAGGAGGTCAAAAATGTTGTGTTATCAGTTATCACCACCATCATTATTACTGTGGTAAAAGATTGGCAAGTAAGTATAAGAAGAGAAAGTAGATTTTTTTTTTTTCTGATGACTTTAAGGGCTTTGGTACTTTTTTTAAGAATGGTAAATCGTGGGTATATTTGTAATCCGAGAAATAAAAAAGATTATTTTTGCCTGTGCTGTAAATGGAAAAAAACTGACCCTTGCTATCCATTAAGAAAATAACTTGTACTTTCTGTTTTTAAGTTACAATTTTATCCACATAACAAAACCATTTGCAGGATAACCCCAGTACCCCAAGTTTCTCCCTGCTGTACTGCCTCTATTTCCTAGAAAAAGACCAAGGTTGCTTTGGGATAACTCCTTTTCTTCAGAAGCTTCAGCTCCTTTGCCCTTAATACTGAAGCTGCCAACTCCAGGTGTTCCACAACCTGAAGGGCAGGCCAAGTTTTAAGCTCCCCTCCCCACCCTTTCCATCGGAACGGCTAGCCTGGAATATCGCTTGCCCTAAATCTGCTCTTTCCACTGCAAATCAGTAAGGAGACAAAACAGCAAAAGGATCTATTATCTATTAAAAGGAACTATGCAAACAAAAGTGACCGTAGGTTAGAAGATAAAAAGAAAAGTTTCCTACCCTCTTATCTGGGCAAAGTACAGGCCACGAGGCCGTTCTATCTGGCCTGCGGGGCTCCTAAAAAACTTAGAAAATGAATATTTATCTGCCCTTGGTTCCTGTCAAAGATGACAGGAAC